TATGCCAGATGCAGAGCAACATGGCTTTTTCTCAAGTTCTATAAGCCACTGAGCCAGAAATCTGTAGGATGACAAGACAGTCAACTCCAGTGGAAACATTAAAAAAAAAAAGCCATTAGAGTTTTAGAAGTAATTCAAATTCTGACAATATTCTTCATATTTGACTGATTATTATTGCTTCACTGGAAATAAATCTAAATCAGAAAGTACTTCTTTTAAATGCACACAACATAAACTAATCACTGTCCGGAAGCTGAGTGCCCTATTCGATTTTTAAATGCTACAAGATAAATCCCTTGTTTACATAGGATGAGATTCCACAATCCACCTTGTAGAGGAAGATTAAGGTTAAATGTAGGCTTAAATGTTTGTCCTGAAAAAAGACAGATAGAACCATATACTCAAAAATATATTGGTTTAGTGATTCAGTGTTGCACTCATCTCACTGGGTGAAATAATTTCTTTTACTGCAAGATAAACAAGAAGCACAGAAATCAGGACAAGATATAAAGCATATACTTGAATGTGCAGGTTTGGCTCTCCTCTTGGTTGGTTACTTTACCTTTCCTCTGAGAGACAGTAGGAATTGACAGCTGCTGGCCTAGCTCTCCACCCACGTTCATTAGGCTTGCTAAGATTCATATCTCACTGCCCTTTGTCCATACCACTTTCTCTTCCTTAAATCACACTTGGGAAACTATGGTTTGTGGTTCAGGATGTACTGCAGGCTTCTGCAACAAACTGTTAGGGACCAGGGAGGGAATGTCCCTGATCATTTTTTTTATTATTCTTTATTTTATCTAAACAGAGATTAGCAGTCTGGAAGGAAGAAGAGGTAGAAACAATGGGTTTTGAATTTCAGACAGAAGCCTGCTACAATGTTTCCATTCACTGAAGTACACATAATATAAGAAAATAATCTTATTTAGAATGAGATTAATACTGGTTTTGTCAAATTGTATAAACCTTTTAAGAATTATGCCGTATTTCACAAATATATCTTGGCACGGTTTCTGAACCATGGGTTGTGGGGTTTTTTGGTTTCACAATCCTGCTTAGTATTTTTCATGACTTGCTCGGATACAGATCAACACACCTGAAATACTGCTCATGATACTGTAATTTGTATTTCTACAACTACAAAAGAAAAAATTGCTACAACTACAGAAGCTACAAAAATTTTTCATCAAATTGAAATAGAATGAGATTCAGTTAGGTGATTAAGATGTCAGGTCACAGATGTCTGTGGCCACAAGTCTGTTTTTCGGTTGACCCTGTCAAGTGACAAGAAAGCTCAGAGGTAACAGCTTAATCAAAGATGTGATTTCAGTCACAATATATCTCAAATAGACAGAAAGTACAAATCTGTGTTTGATTTTTATCCCAAACTCAACTGAATCCTACACATTTCTTCTCAATACTGTTCTGTCATTACTTTACCTCTTGTCTTACTGTGGGTATTGTGTTTGCCTCTATTTTTCACACGTGTTTCTGTATAACCACTTTTGAGTCTTGCTAAATTACTTCTTAAATACTGTTTAACAAATTCCACGCAAGTACTCTAATCTCACTGCTAAAGGGCTCTGGTGTGTCTAGACTCAGTATAAGAAAGGTAGAAAAAAGAGTTCTTTCAATCATTAGGGAAAGTTTATTTTTTCTCCCCTGCTCTCCTCACAGTAAAAAAGGTGGTCTTTTTGTTCTCTGTCCCCAATCGCACCCAAAGGTGTCAAATGCATGTGATAAGCTCTAATAGATATATGCTGTGATTTTTTGTCACGTGTTTGCTTGTCCTGCTTAATTAGTATTGTAAGGAGGGTTTGAGTTTTGGGGGCTTGAAGCTGGGCAGGAGGTTGGCAGGGTAGTGTTTTTTACTGGTTTCTAACCTACATAGGCGAAGCTGACATAGAAGAAACCCCCTATGGCCTGGGTCTCAGCCAAGAAGAAATCTTCCCCACATAATGGAACTGAAACTATATCTCTGCCAAGTTTTTTTGCCTTTCCAATTTTTTGTAACCTTCATTGTGGCTGCCAGGTTAGACAAGAATCAGCTGAAAATCCTGAAAACGAATGGGTTGTTTATGCACTACAGCTGCAACCTGAGATGTAGGTCTGTATCTTAAGACCTTCCAAAAAAGCGAGAGAAAGGGCTCACAGTCTGACATAGAGATAAAATCCAAGCAAGCCCAACAGAATAGAAGAATCATGATCTTCATAACCACCTTCAGACTTACAGTACATAAGAGTTGATTGATGTCATTTGATATCTGACACAACAAGTGTGCTAATTGCTTTTGGAATACCTTTGCCTAATCAACTATTAAGGGTTAAAAAAATTGCAGATTCCACATTTAATGACATAAAATCATTACTTGGGTGTGCACCTTATCTGGGCAGCAACGTTTGTGTATGACATTGCCACTTACCTCCACCAAACTATATGACGATTTCATTTACCAGTAAACCACTCCTCTCGGGTTCATATCTCAGTGGTCCAGAATCACCTCCAAATTGCAAAACTATGTGCTTTATTTTTAGAAAACATGATTATTATCATGCAATCAAGTTTAACACAAATTTAAGATGAAAGACTGCTAGGCTAATTCTGTTTCTTCATGAGCTATATCAGAAATAGTATACTTCTCAAACAGAAAAAAAAATATTTCAGCTTTTACTATAACAAATTGTAGTTTTCTATAATCTACAATCAAAAAAAAAAAGGAACGGTTACATAAGCATGATCTGGAAGAACTTTTAATTACTCAAATAAAGATGATTAAAACGAGCTTGAAAGCAGGAAAATCCCTCAGGTTTTCAATTAAATGTTAAATTAAACTAATGTGATTGTTTTTTCCCCTTAATTAAATTTATTACTAGTAAAAGTCCATAAAGAGATATGGTCTTCTACTTAAAATGTGCTCTCAGTAGTATTTGCAAACACCAAGAAATTTTCTACACTGAGTGACATACAAAATAACTCAAAGGAAAAGAGGAGATTAATAAATTTACTTTTTGTTCTTTAATATTTGATCCAGTGTAGATCCCAAACAAGAACGAGTTATTTGCAATATTACTATTTTTTTTCCCCTAGATCAGAAGATTCTTGTATTTAAAAATTGATGACACACAAGGTCTCACAATTGCCCTCTATTCTGCCATTTTTTTCAGCGACTATGGGGAACTTTATTCCACAGAAAAGGAGTCAAGAAGATGGCCAAGTAAAAGTTGTTTTTTTTTAAAAATAAGAGGTTTACTTCACTAACTAAATTATACCCCTAACAATAAAAGGATTACTTTTATAAGGATTAGTTTGCTTAAC